GCTACATGAGAGAGAACAAATGGAACAAGAGAAAAGTAGCCTCGAGCAGGAAAACAAAAAGATAAATTCTGAACTTGAACTTCTCAGAAAACTCGTGAGTCAAAGAAATATTGATAAAGAGGCGGAATGGAATATGATAAATGAGAAAATGGATGAGATTTCAGCCGATCGCGAGCAAATAGAGAATGAGAAAAACCGACTGAGAGACGAACTTGTGAATATGGCTTCCGTAGCTACTGACATGCAGAATGCGGAGGAACTGTTACAAACTAATCCTGATGAAAATGCTTATGTACTACAAGCCAAGAGTTTAAAGAAAGCAAACAACGTTCTGCAGAATGAACTGCAGGACTTAATTCAGAAGGAAAAGGAATTGAGGGCAGCCAATGAAAAGCTTTGGAAGGAAAAGGCACAGCTACAAATGGTACGCTTTAACTCTCTCAAAAATACTTTTTAACTCTGAAATACACCGCAGGAATATTGCTCAATAATGTTTACGTAACGAATGTAGTCAATTTTAGTCGCACTACCTAGCAAGAGATTGCCAGGTAAAAACTTCGGCCGGCACAGGATTTTACTGGTATTCAGTTTTGGGTTTTGTACTTCTGAGAATCCATGGGTCATGAATTTAACTCTTGAACGACAATTTTGTACACTGTTGTCGGTCCCCCCTTTCTTTGCTTTATCTCACACATGTGAGAAAATGACTCAACCATCTGTCCAAGTGGAACGCTTTTGACATTGCCGATTCTACGAGTAGACAATACTCTTACTTAATTGATGATCGTATGACTACGAGTTAGGCTGGCCAAAATATTCATTTCTAGCTTTGCTATCCTATTTTAGGGCCGTGGTCCGTCCTTGTCATCCATGGATGGTAATTTCAACAAAGAAGTTAGTCGCCTGGTAACAGAGAACGTGGTAAGTAGATGAAAAAAATAATACTGTTTTATTTGCCTGTAATTCTTACTGGACTGTTTGGTTGGTTTTGTCGCAGCATTGCCAAAATTGGCATAGAACTCTTATTAAAGCACTTTTGTTTTCTTTAGGAGCTCCGCGAACAAGTTGAAAAACTAGAGGCTGAGCTGGAAGAGTACAAGAAAGGTGGGACGACAGCGCTGACTCCATTCCGAGGAAGAGCACAGTCGTGGAGAGGTCAGATGGATAACAGTTTTATTGCAAAAGATTTTTTTATCAGTTCTACTGAGTTGGTTGGGAATTTTTTATTTTGTAGGTGAAGTGGAGCAGAAACGGAGAGCTCAAAGTTTCTTATCTGGTCAAGAACCAAAAGCTGGAAAGTTGGTAAGAACAGAAAACTTTCCTGACTGAATATTTCATTTCGGTCTTGTGTAATACTAATAGTAGCGTATTGGAAAGAGAAAATTATACGTAGTCACTCTTACAGCTGGGCTTGCAAGTATGTTACCAAAAGTTCACTTGGATCAACCACAAAAAGGGAAAAAAAGGAAAACAAAAACAAAAGAAACAAGAAAGAAACAAAAACAGTTTTTTTCCAGTTAAACCTGTTCGAGAAATGACTTTCAACCGTTACCAATGTTACTTTGGAAGGCTATTGAATAATATCTACTACATAATTCTTGTGACTCTCTTGATTTACCGGCATTTAGTCCTAAACATTTGTTTCTTCCAGGTTATGAGGCATGCCGGGCTGCTTAGGAAATCTTCGCATGCACATAAGGAAGGGGTATTTATTCTGTTTTTATTGTTTGCTTTGGTTGTTTTTCCTTTTTTGTTGATATATTTTAACTGAGATTTCTCGAAGTTAGTGAACAATATGGCGTAGGATTTCTTATCGATCACGGTTGGTGGTTTCAAGTGCGCGAGAAAACTGCCCTAGACCTTGAAGCGGGTTTTATTTATTACACGAAGTTTGATTCAAATTTTTCAGAGAATAAGCGACATGATAAGTAAGTGAAATGCTCTTCCGTCTGCCAGCAAACACATGAAAGAATACTTTTGTTGGTAACGATTATTTTGGCCATCATGTCAAAATTTTTTAACACTTGAATTATCTTATTCACATCTGCAGTTAAATTATCTTAGTCACATATAGGGGCAGCTAACAATACTTTAAACTTTTATGTTCACTTTGGCAGGATCTTCTTCCTCCTCTGCCGCAATTAAGACAACAAAAAATCCGTGGAATGATCGAATTTTCAAGCGAGGATGAAGATAAAGTTATCAAATTCCTTATCACTGATATGAATCCCAAATCCATGGCAGATGCTACCCCAGGACTCCCTGCTCATATTCTTTTCATGTGCATCAGGCATTGTGATCACGTGAATGATGACCGGCGAATGCAGAGTCTGCTGACCAGCAGTATAAATAGCATCCGAAAAGTAGTCAAGGTAAAAAGTGAATCAGATTGTTTCTATTTAGTTTTAAACGAAAAATAATCTAGTATTGCCTGGGTTTTACTTCGTTATGCTTTATTTTTGGCCTTGAAACTCGCGCCACAGGGTTTAAACCAATCACGACTTGTTCGCCTGCATTTATAATCACTGGTGTGCTTTTTACTTTTAGTTGTCGTTGATTCCTTGAGATAGTTTTTTGTCGAAAGACGTCTTTAAATTGACCATAGGATCATTATGTTCACTTTTTGTAACCTCAGTTCTTATGATTTACCTTACAATCACGCCTTCGAAAAAACAAGTTCCATACCCAATAATGAGAACTGCTTTCTTTTTTCTTTTTTCTTTTTTTATCTGGGACTCCTCAGTATTTTTTTTTTCCTTTTTCTTTCTTCAAGATTCGCTAGAAACAACTTTTACAAACGCATCGTTCTTCATAAGAACTCTGGGTTTAGTCCAGCCACTTTTCTATGAAAGCGAGACGCTCTACATAACATGAGGGAGGAAAGAAACCTGTTTATTTACTGTACTCAAGTGCAACTTGGTATCGATCCATGATCCCTCATATTAAAAAAAAAATGGTTTCCTTTTTATTAACAGAAAAACCCGAATAATCTTGATATCTTGGCATTTTGGCTGGCAAATACATCACGGCTTCTTCACGACATGAAGCAGTATAGTGGAGATAAAGTAAGTCTTTATTCGTAGTGTCAATGGGCTCAATCAATGACCGCTGATCCTGAATTGAGCCCACTCCCCTCCACCGAAGACCGGACCCAAGGGGGGACGAAAATCGAGCATCGAGCCTACAGTACACTTTTAATATAACAACCAAACGCCTAACTACTCACACTTCTTGTTTCTTTGTTCTTTTTGCCCTTTTTTTGACATATTTGATAAAGAAGGCTACATTTTTGTTCTTTTACGTTCGCACTCTGTCAACTAAAGATGTGTATCTTTCTTGCTGCAGTTGTGGTTTTTTTTTCGCCTTATTTTGCAATGAATAAGCTTTTACAGCGAAACTAACGCCTTTTCCATGTTTGCGTGTAATGCCATTAAATGGAAAATGTCGATTGGCATCTGTTTTTCGTAGCATCGACCTCCCTCCTCCGAAGTATGTTTTGTATTAGTAGAATTTCATCGTGAATCTGAAAAGGAAAGGAAGGAAAATCTCTTAAATGAGTGTGCACGAGAACTTGAGCCAGACCTCGTTTTGAAACAGAGGCGGGAAGAAAATCTGAATGAGCGCCAGCCTTTTATTCACAAGAATACGAGCCGTTATTGAATGCGAAAAGAAAAATCGGAAAATTTCCTCGTATTTTATAGAGAAATTTTTACAACTTTGCCCTTTAACCGATCTTTCTGTGTTCTTTGTTATCATTTCCTTTTGTGATCACAGTGGTCTTCCTTTGTGATGTGACTTTCAGTGTCTAACTTCTGACTATTCTCATTCATTCTCGCTTTGTTCACTGAAAACTCTTCAGTGGTTTGTAAGACGACCCGATGAAGATGGACTGTCCGCATCTCTACTAAAACAGTGGAGTAATATGAAGGATTACATCAAAGATGTTAGTTTGCCACCAACCTTCCTTATTGTACACTGCGTAGTTTGTTTGTCTCACTAAATGCACGCTTGTATCTGCATCATCTAACTTATTTTCCTTCTTTTCACCAAAGGCGAATTTGGTTGTATCACATTTAGTTGAACGATTTTTTTTTAACGTCTTTTTGTAATCTTTCTTTTCTGTTAATTTGATTTATCTGTTATGTTCTTTAATTGCTCATATGTTTTCTTCGTGTGACACGTATGACCTCAAATGTTTATTTTTTACTTTTTATTTGGCGATTTGTTTACTTCCTTATTTATCTATTTATGTATTCTGGTTACGGCATATTTTGTATTACACTTTCTTCACCTTTTGTTTGGGTTTGTTTTATGTTATGGCTGCAACGTACAAAACCATTGTAACGTTGGTTACTTCTTTGTGACTTTGAATTATTGTTATGTCTGGTACCGTGTTTAAGGAATGGAAAGAGTGAGATCCTGAGGATATCATTTAATAAGAACACTCTTTTTTCATCACGGAGTTTTAATAAAGAAGTCCAAGCTCATGCATTAGGAATATGTTTCTCGAATTCAGAAAACACACGAAAGAGTCAAATCTCCAGATAGCCCTTTGACTCTGACATCCAAGTTGTTGTGGGTTTGATTATGGTGCCTTGTAATTACGTCAAGGGCCTTTTTAATTTACACACTTGTCTGTTTTTTCCAGGCGTTTCAAGTGCACAACACTCCAGAACAAAATCAACACTGTCTGAAAAACTTTGACCTGACGGAGTATCGGCAGGTGCTCAGCGACCTGGCCATACATGTCTATCAAGATTTAGTAAAGTGTATATGGGAAGCTGTACAAAATATGATAGGTAAAATGCTTTTTTCACAATGATTCCACGGGATTGATGAAGAAAGAAATGTCTCAGAGTGAGCTAATTGGTTGTGCCATGATTCAAGCCGCGGCCGAGTTACTGTCTTTTTTCCCAGAAGAGAATACTTTTGCTCTCAGCTCCTATTTCCCCCAGAAGTAGAAATGATTACCAGCTAGCTGTTTGGGGAGCCTGATAAAT